TGAAAGATGTTAAAAGGAATGACAGAAAGGAGAGTGGATGATTGCAGTGGCAAATGCAGATAAGTTATCACAGCTCAGATCAAAGCCTGTGCTTTATCCAAACCTAAATGTGGAGTGACTGGGAAATGTTTCCTTTCTTTCTTACTCCTATGATCTCAGTAGTCCTCAGTTCTCTTGTTTTGTGTTTCTGGCTTGCTCTGTAAACAACTTCTTTAGAAAAAAAAGTATTTCATTCTTTTTGTTTTTTTCATTTTAACCAGTAAATGTAATAAAAGGTTGTTTTTTTATTATCAAATATGTTTAACAGTTTCTCATTATGTCTTTATAGATTGAAAACCTTTATCATACACATTAAAGGCTGAATATGGAACTGTTTAATAAAAGTTTTTATTTTTCTTTTAACAATACCTCCACAAGGTGTTTAGATGTATACACAATGAACATACTGTATTTCCTTGAAAGGCTATATTTTAAATTGAAAAATAATCAAATTTTTATTTTGACAGTTTACATCTACCAGCCAATAACAGTCCGCTCAGCACAGCGAGGCTGGCACTGTGGAAAATAGCAGACTTGGCAAGTCAAGCAGCTGCTTCTGTGCCCAGAAGATGTTTATATGCTTCTCAGAAGAGGAGCGACCATAACAGATCTAAAACCAGAGTTTAGGAGAAGCCTTCAACAGACGGACCCAAATAAAATATTTCACATATCGATAATGAACCCGGTATCCCGATGGCTGGAAACCTTGTTCTGTTGTTGCAACTACAACCTCCACACACTAGATGTCGCTTTGATGTACGTGTTCCATATTCATATGGAAGTAGGAATTCCAAATAGGATGATGGGAAAGAAGTTAAGTAAGTACATTACATATATATATATGTATGTATATATATATATATATATATATATATATATATATATATATATATATATATATATAATCAGAAGATCATAACTATCTTAAAACATAAATAAATAAAAAATTGAAAAGACAAAATGTTATGGAAATTTATTGTTTCATTACTTTGGTCCTATTAACAGATCTGTTGGCTGAATGTCCTAAAAGCATTCACATACAGACACACAGACACAGACACACACACACACACACACACACACACACACACACGCACGCACGCACGCACGCACGCACGCACACACACACGCACACATACACACAAACACACACATTCTTGTCATCCCACACTCACTCACACGTGATCCACTCCCATTCCTCTCTCATCTCTTTGCTGAAATAAACTCTGTGACCAGCTGTTCGGGGCGTTTGCCCAGCGCACTTGCCACTAAGGCCCGGTCCACATGTAGCCGGGGATCTGCCAAAACGTAGATATTTTTCTACATTTTGGCCTGTCATCCACACGGAAACGGAGTTTTTTCACATGAAAACGGATCTTTTTAAAAACTCCGGCCAAAGTGAAGATCTGCGTTTTCTCTGTTTTGGGTTTCTGCGTGTGGACAGACAAAACCGGAGTTTTAAGGTCCGCAACGTCACTTTCCGCGACAACAAAATGCTGACATCACGTGTGCGACCTGTGTTTACACTAGCCGACAGCATGGATGCCCTCAGAGCTGCGCTCGCTTTATCAATTGTCCAAGCGCTTTTTGCTTGTTTGTTTTTGCAAGCGGAATTACTGCTCCTTGCGGAAGACCACAGACGAAGGATGAGGTTAAGAACGGCTGTTGCCCGGCACCTGGCTTCTCCAAGTACTGCCGCCTACAGGTCTGGCATGTCCTTAACAACGTATTTATCCGTGTACGTTTGGACTGAGTTTTTTTTTAAACGAGGTGGTGTGGATGCTACGTGTGGACTAGGCCTAAATCATGATTTGGTTGTATGTCTGCCTTATTGATTCTTGTCTCTCTCTCTAGCTGCAGGAAATGGGTTTATTGGTACACATATTGATAAAATCCATGACACAAAGTAAAATCTCATAAAACAAATGAAAGATTATTACAAACTTGAATAAAAAAATAAGAAAACTAAATATTTCTGTAAAAAGCAGCTTTAAATAAAAGGGTCTTTAGCTGTTATTTAAAAGGGTCCAGACTGTCAATACTGCGTAAGGATAAAGGAAGTACATTCCAAAGTCGGGGTGCAACAGCACATAATTAAATAACATAATTAAAATTACTGACAAGGTCTGTGTGAAGTTGGATGAATTCACAAACCTGATGACAGCAGGTTCTCTGATTGGTTAAGGAACTGTCTCACTAACTCAGAACAAGGCTCATTTCTCTTTATGAGTTGTGTTCAGTCATGGTCTAAGAGGGAAACATACGCCTGATTTGAACAATCCAATATTAAACGGGCTTCTGCAGAACTTAAAGACATGCTGAGCAGACAGTTTAACCATTGAATCAAGTGTATACTATTGGTACACAGGAATATCTAAAACATGCAGCATGTTGGCCAACATAGTTCAGGATTGGACAACATTGCTCTGTAGGATTGTGTGTGTGTGTGTGTGTGTGTGTGTGTGTGTGTGTGTGTGTGTGTGTGTGTGTGTGTGTGTGTGTGTGTGTGTGTGTGTGTGTGTGTGTGTGTGTGTGTGTGTGTGTGTGTGTGTGTGTGTGTGTGTGTGTGTGTGTGTGTGTGTGTGTGTGCTAAATACTGAACAGCCTTACGACAGATTGAGGGAACGCTAACATTCAGCAAATCTGAGTTCATGACGATGTGCTGCTGTGTTCTCAGTTACCTCCAGAGCTATTAAAGTGTCAGACTATCAAGTAACTCAAGGTTGAGAATTATTAATATGTCCACGTGCAGATGTTTGGAACTGGTGCACAAGCCTGAAGGCTTGAGGTGATGATTATGTATTCGTAGAGCAGCGGGTGTCAGAGAAGTGCCAACTTAAATCCAGGGTCGGGGGCAAATAGTGTTTTTGAACTTAGCTGCATGAGAGTTGAATACAACTTTCTTTGGACCAAAATGGATGCTATTAAATCTTCTCCTTACATTTTTCAGAAGAAAAAATTACATAATATCTTACACAAAGAATCACTCAGTAATACTGTCTATAGGCCCGAGTGCCATGGATGGAGACTCAGCTTTCATGTAAAAGATGATTTTGGAGGGTCACGCTGAAGTCCTCAGTCATGAAATAAACAAACCAACGGGCCACTATTATGTGTTGCCCATAGCAGGGTCATTATTGTTGAGGTGGCAATGTATCTGGGTAATCTGAAGGCAGTTTGTCCATGATGGGACCCACACACCCCATCATGACTCAGTCATTAAGAATTTGAAGCAGGACTGGCTAAGCCTCATGCTTTGGCTACAACCCAATCACATGGTTTAGTCAGCATAGTGTGATCTTCTTGTGTAGTAGTGCCAGGTTGAGGCCTGGTGCAATCAAGGGTGAATTAAATAAGATCAATGTGAAAACACGGTAAAGACTCAGGAGAACGTCTGAAAAAGACCAAATTTTGAAGTTTATTGAAGAAAGCACGTCGATATTCTTTTCTGTCAGAAGGAAGTTTTCTGAATGTGCTGCAGTTCAGTCACATTCTAATGGGCCATGCAAGTCATCTAAAGAGCAGTGGGGTTTAAATCCAATCAAAGGGGAGTATTGAATAAAAAAAGTGTACAAATTTGTAATAAAACTGATGAGAACACTCTAAAAAGTCTGGTGGCCTGGACTGATTTCAGCACTGGAAACTAGGACCTTTGAAGAAAATCTGTTTCCACTGTAACTGTTATAATTTTGTGTTTATTATTATTACAGATGTCTGCCTCTAAGAAAGGAAACACAATTGTTCATCAAAGGGTTTATTTTTTTTATCTGGATTTTTATCCAATTCTTTTATCCACGCATAATAAAAACTTAGTACATAAAATGCTAGGCTTTGCTCAAGAAAAGAAAAAGAAAGTTTGCTACATCACTGGTTTATTAAATGAAAAAAGAGCAAATATGAAATTACTGTCAAAACCTCACACTTGTACTGTAGCTTTAGCAGATCTTGCTGATTCTCATGAGGGTAGAGTTCAAAATGTGTGGCTGCTGGAACCTAGATTCAACTTCTAAAACTAAAACAGTTCATTTGATTTCATGCGCTTGTTATGTATCAAAGGTGATTACACCTGGCTGGAGGCTGCAATTTAAGCACTAATAAATAATTTCAGTGTTAAAGTTTTTTTTTATTTAAATCACTATTTGAAAGGGTGACAAGCTCCCTAGAAACCGTCAACTTACACACCCAGAGTGAGCCTGAAAAAAATATCCTGTTTCTGTTAAGGGCCATTCAGTCCCTTTACCAGAGGAGAGTGAGTTTGGTCCGCATTGCCGGTAGTAAGTCGGACCTGTTCCCAGTGAGGATTGGACTCCGCCAGGGCTGCCCTTTGTCACCGGTTCTGTTCATCACTTTTATGGACAGAATTTCTAGATGCAGCCGTGGTGTGGAGTGTGTCGAGTTTGGTGGCAGGAGAATCTCGTCTCTGCTTTTTGCGGATGATGTGGTCCTCCTAGCTTCATCCAGCTCTGACCTTCAGCTCTTGCTGGGTAGGTTCGCGGCCGAATGTGAAGCGGCTGGGATGAGGATCAGCACCTCCAAATCTGAGACCATGGTTCTCGACCGGAAAAGGGTGGCTTGCCACCTCCGGGTCGGGGGAGAGGTCCTACCTCAAGTGGAGGAGTTTAAGTATCTCGGGGTCTTGTTCACGAGTGAGGGTAGGAGGGATCGGGAGATCGACAGGCGGATTGGTTCGGTGTCTGCAGTGATGCGGACGCTGAGCCGATCTGTCGTGGGGAAGAGGGAGCTGAGCCAGAAAGCCAGGCTCTCGATTTACCGGTCGATCTACGTCCCAATCCTCACCTATGGTCATGAGCTTTGGGTAATGACCGAAAGAACGAGATCGCGGATACAAGCGGCCGAAATGAGTTTCCTCCGTAGGGTGGCCGGGCTCAGCCTTAGAGATAGGGTGAGGAGCTCGGACATTCGGGAGGGACTCGGTGTAGAACCGCTGCTCCTCCGGATCGAAAGGAGCTAGTTGAGGTGGTTTGGGCATCTGGTCAGGATGCCTCCTGGACGCCTCCCCGGGGAGGTGTTTCGGGCATGTCCTGCCGGCAGAAGGCCCCCGGGTCGACCCAGGACACGTTGGAGAGGTTACATCTCCAATCTGGTCCGGGAACGCCTTGGGGTCCTGCCGGAGGAGCTGGTGGACAAGGCCGGGGAGAGGACGGCCTGGAGCTCCCTAATTGGGATGCTGCCCCCGCGACCCGGACCCGGATAAGCGGATGAAGACGAAGACGAAGACGAAGACGAAGACGAAGCTTGTGATTGGTCAGGACGCCACTTCCTGTATATTTGTCACCAGCACTGCTGTAGCTCCATTACAAAATAAACAGACATTTAGCGGCAGACCCAGATTAGATTGAAGAACGCATCGCGGAAAACGTCCGAAAATATAAACATTTAATCACCCTTGAGTGAAGAAGTACAACATACGGAGCAAACGTGGACGGAAACTATGGAAAATGTGGGTTTAGAGGTGTCAATCGCATGAAAAGGCGGAGGAGAATGAAGGACAAATTTGTCCAAGTTTTAAAGTCTCTGAAAAATATATACACATTAGTAAACACACTATCGTGGACTGGATACATGAGTGTTATGGTGACACAGAACAGTGCTACGCCCTCTGTTGTCCTGGCGGGGATTTGCATTGCTATACTCTGCTGCCTGAACCGAAGTTTGAATGTGAAAACCTTTCCGACACTCCGTGTGTGTCTCCGTTGCGGAGCTCACAGAGAAGCACAAGTCAGGCAATAGGCGTTGGAGCCATTGAATCAGAAGGGGAGTTGCCCCAAAAAATATTTTATTAACATAAAATCGTTTGTGTCCGCTCGTATTCTCTAGTACTATCTGTCTTTTATCTGTGCCTGATGTGCGCTGCTGCTGCGAAGCTCATCGACTCAGGCTGTTGCCCCATCGACCCGACTCTGGATAAGCGGAAGAAAACAGATGGATGGATTTATTTGGACGACATGCAGTATTGAAAAGATAGAACACTTGAGAGATATTCTCTAGTTTTGCATGTATTGGCAGACCAAAGTAAAGGATCAAATCATCAGTTTTGTTCTGGACAGGTGGGTCCTTTAATATTCTGTAGGTTTATAGTTAAACCTTTAAAATCCATCCGTTTTAAGACTTCAGTTTTCATGCAGAGCACTGATGAAAACACGTTTTCATTTAAAGAACTTGACGGGGAGATGATTGTGTTCTCGTTTACTTTTAGGTGAATCACTGAGAGGAGAGTGACGAGAACAAACCTGCGAGGTGTCATGGTTGAAGATGATGGAGTTAAGGTCCCCACAGTTGTAGTGTGTAATGAGATCTTCTGTGGTGTAGGAGCCTTGCATGCTTCCAGCACGGACGCCCTCATGCTGCAGCAGTGTCTGGTTCAAAGCAAACAGTACCTGCAGGGGAACAGAGAAACACAAGAAGGATGCTATGAGTTTCTGCTCCTAAAACTCTCTTCTGCGTGTTCATGAGGGAGAATCTCTGTGAGCATGTGAAGGTAACACAAAGCTGTTTTAAACAAAAGTTGCTGCATTTTTCCATACTGACAGCAGGTAAAGCAGATCACTAAAGACAGGACAATAAATCTCTCATTTACTCCTGAAGGGAAAAGAAAGAGACGAAGAAAGAAAAAAACCTTCTAAAAATAATAATTTTTTTTCTTTGACCAGTACATAGGAGCAATAAATTTAAAGCACCCATTAAAATCAAAAGTAAGCCCTCTTTAGAAAGAATGTATAGCGTGCAGCCGGCAGCTAACCAAAAAAGCTCCACAGCTGCATCAGACACCAGAGGTTAACCTCCTCTCTCACACCCGCTACAGTCCCACGCCACCTCTAGCAACCTGGCAACTAAGACTGAGCTGTCAATCACTGTTAAGGAAGAATGACAACCAGAACCATTGTTACAGGAACCAGAGGCGTGCTGGATGGAGGTTTTCTTTTTAAATGTTCTACATTTTACTGCAGCAGATTCAAACAGTTCAACCTGACATGACTTGATGAGATGCCAGAACTTAGACCGTTGTATCGTCAAACTAAACCAGACTGATCAGAGTCTATGATCGTAATTACCAACAAAGCCCACTTCGGAAAATGCTGCTGGAAGTGTGTCAGATGATTTGTGGAGCAGCTTAAGGCAAATGCAGCTGCACAACCAATAGAAGCCAATGTCAAATTCTGGGTTGTAATTCATATCATGTTTTCTCAATCATAAATGCCTTTGCCAAGCATATCGGATGATTAAACTCCAGGTAACCTTTCCTGCTGGGATTATCAAAGCTGAGCTTTACCGTGTGACTTCTCCATTTGAGCTCATGGTGTTCCACAACTGGTTTTGTACACTTCATTTGGCTTTGCTCTGCGTTTCTATGTTCAATCTAACATTAGAATTTTAAGTTTATTCACCTTGCCTGCTGGTGGTGGTCGGAGGGACCGGTGGCGCCAGTGTTTGGCAGACCTCGCCTCTGTCAGTGCATCCCAGGGCAGCTGTGGCTACATTGTAACTCATCCCCGTCAGTGTGTGAATGGGTGAATGGCTGACTGTGTTGTGAAGTACCTTGGGGGTTGTAGAACCCTAAGAAGGCCCTATACAAATACAGGCCCGTTACCATTTTACAGGCCATTCCTTCTTTATTTTTTACTTGTTTCTTTTGTTCTTTTTCCACCATCTGAAATGGCTCCATCCTCCTCTCTCTACCAGTCAACCCTCTCTTCCTGTGTGTTTCCACTGTCGGAACTTCAGGGTAGATTTACATGAAATTCCCAGCATGCACGTGTCTCCACTTGGCCGGGTGGACTTATCGACCTTTTCTGGGCCATGTTCAGGAACGTTCTGGGTACTTGATGAGGGTTAGGTACTTGGAATGGCCCGATGGAGTAGTAATTTTTGGTTAACTCACGCTGCTTGGTTGTAACTCAGTTTTAGAGCAGCTGAGTACACCTTGTGGAGTTTTTTTATTACGGAGAACCAGAAAATGATGAAATTGGGTGTTGGAGACTTATAAACACTCTCCAGCAGGTAAAAAAAAAGCCCACAACAGTCAGGAATCAGCTCGGTGTGATATTGAGACATTGGATTACATGAACCAAGTAGATATTTTTTTCTATAACACGGATTGTTATAACCATAACCACCAAAGGTAAGACAGAATTTGACTTTATGAAATTAGCTTTGCTTGTTCAGCTGCTGCATTGCTCTGTGAGTTTTGCAGGTAGAGTAATGGTACGTAAATTATTATAAAGAGGAGCGTCTGGGCTTTAATTTATAAGGCTGCTTCTGTGGATAGGATCACATTGCATTATTGCTACTTAGTGTCTTTCTTGATATGTGTGTTTAGCAGTTATTTTTTATTTTTTTGGCTCTTTTATTTAGCAGCTTTTTATTGGCATTGGGTGTTGTTGAGGTAGAAAATGCATATTGCATCATTTACATAAGCCTCTTCCCGTATGTCTGCAGTTGGCATTTGTTGGTGAATGCATGTTTTTGGAACAACTTTGTTGGGTTTGTTGGGCTCACGTTGCGTAAATGGTAATTTGGCATCCACTAGTGGTGATGTGGTTAGCACATCTGGAAAAAGAGCCACCAAAAACAAAATTCACCAGTTGCCACTGCGCTGCTTTAATATTGCCAATGTGGGGCTTTGTTGTCTCACTGAGCACTGTTAAAATGGAGATTCTTCTGGCCATTTGGATGCCACACTTTACATCACGCAGCTGCTCTCATGCTCTGAATGGATTACATTATGATATACTTTGAAAGAATAAAACTTTTGATGTTTTTAATGGTATTGTGGATGCTTTTGGGCGCTGATCAGTGACATCACTCACTGCTGAAGCAGTCGCTGAAAGGACCAGGACATTGTATTTCCCGCTCAATTTCCCCCTTATTTACCAACATGCAGGCTTCAATCAGACTTTTATTTATCTTTGCATTGGATTTCCTACATCCAGGAATTAAGTTTGTAATTGGTCAATAACTATGAATGAATGAATGAACGAACGAACGAATGAACGAATGAATAAATGAATGAATGACTTTATTTAAAGAGCGCATTTCCTGCATGGTAACAACTAAATGTGCTTAACAATAAAAGAGACTAAATAAAACAATCAGTTATAAAATATGTACACACTTTAACAGCAAATGTTGTGTACATACATAAAATATACACATAAAACTAAAACCTATACATTCAAACACGTACACACTCACACACAAACATTTACACACGCGTGTGTACACACATCCATACACGACCATAAAATTAAGCTAACAGTGAAACATAATTGTAAGCGCTTATCTATGAATAAAAGTATATCTATAAAAGGAGGGTATAAATTAGAAATAATGCAGCCTGTTTATTTAAGTTTGTTCAAATAAAAAAGGTTTTAAATGTATCTTAAAAATATCTGGTGTACTGTAGCTGCGTCCCTCTTCTCTAAAGGCAATGTATTCCAGATCTTGGGTGCATATCCACTAAAAGCAGCCTCCCCTGACTTAGAATGTGTATGTGGTATAACAAGATTGCCATGATCTGCAGACCGGAGTGGTCTGACTGCTACATAAGGTACTAGCATGTCTGTAATATATTGTGGTGCAAGGCCATTGAGAGTTTTATATACAAGCAGTAGGATTTTAAAATAAATTCATTTTTCAACTGATAACCAGTGCAGAGATCTTAAAACAGGAGTAATGTGTTCTGATTTATTTGTTCCAGTCAGAGCGCGAGCAGCAGCATTCTGAATCAGCTGCAATCTGTAAGTAGCATACTGAGGGAGGCCAATTAAGAGACCATTACAATAATCCAGCCTGCTAGTTATGAATGCATGGATTAGCTTTTCAAGGTCAGTTTTTGACACAAAAGTTTAATTTTAGAAATGTTCCGTAAATGAAAAAAAAAGTTATTTTAGTTTTATGATTAATGTGTTTTTTAAAATTCAGATCACTATCTAAAAATACACCCAAGTTACGTGTTTCATTTTTACATTGAAGGGACAGAGAGGCGAGAACATCTACAACTGTCTGTCTCTGTGCATTTGGACCAAATACAATATTTTCTGACTTATCTTGATTTAATTGTAAGGAATTTTCAGACATCCAGGCATCCATATCCTTGATACATTGTGTAAGAGAGTGAAGGGGAGGTGTATTATCAGAAGACAATGAAATATATAATTGTAAGTCGTCTGCATAATTATGGTAATTAACATTGTGCCTCTGAACAATGTGCACAAGAGGAAGCATACAGTATACAGGTTAAATAATAGCGGACCAAGGATCAAACCTTGAGGTACACCACAAGTAGCCACCAGTTTGTTAGAGTTAAACCTCCCAACTGATAAACATGACTGCCTGTCTCTAAGGTATGTTTGGAACCATCTAAGAACTGGACCGGAGAAACCAACCCAGTGCTCTAACCTGTCTAACAGAATATCATGGTCAACTGTATCAAATGCAGCACTAAGGTCCAGAAGGACAAGGACGGTAACTTTCCTAGAGTCCGTGTTTATGTGTAGGTCATTAACAACCTTAATGAGAGCTGTCTCTGTGCTGTTTTTACTGCGAAAACCAGACTGGTAAGTATAAAAGATGTTGTTTGACATGAGGTAACGGCTGATCTGAGTAAAAACTGCTTTCTCAAGTAGTTAACTAAGAAACGGTAAATTTGAAATTGGTCGATAATTGGAGAACGCAGCTGGAGTTTAAGTTCATTTAATTTTTGTTGTCGTTGTTCTGATTTTTATTGTAAGATTTTTCTTAAGTCTGGCATCAATAAGTTATGATGAAAATCCAAAGTCTCTGCTTTTTGCGGATGATGTGGTCCTCCTAGCTTCATCCAGCTCTGACCTTCAGCTCTTGCTGGGTAGGTTCGCGGCCGAATGTGAAGCGGCTGGGATGAGGATCAGCACCTCCAAATCTGAGACCATGGTTCTCGACCGGAAAAGGGTGGCTTGCCACCTCCGGGTCGGGGGAGAGGTCCTACCTCAAGTGGAGGAGTTTAAGTATCTCGGGGTCTTGTTCACGAGTGAGGGTAGGAGGGATCGGGAGATCGACAGGCGGATTGGTTCGGCGTCTGCAGTGATGCGGACGCTGAGCCGATCTGTCGTGGGGAAGAGGGAGCTGAGCCAGAAAGCCAGGCTCTCGATTTACCGGTCGATCTACGTCCCAATCCTCACCTATGGTCATGAGCTTTGGGTAATGACCGAAAGAACGAGATCGCGGATACAAGCGGCCGAAATGAGTTTCCTCCGTAGGGTGGCCGGGCTCAGCCTTAGAGATAGGGTGAGGAGCTCGGACATTCGGGAGGGACTCGGAGTAGAACCGCTGCTCCTCCGGATCGAAAGGAGCCAGTTGAGGTGGTTTGGGCATCTGGTCAGGATGCCTCCTGGACGCCTCC